GCAGGCACAGCACTCAATTCAGCATGTGTACGTGTTTGTGTGTGCTGTCTGCGTCACTCATAGCACGTGCCTATATCGTGCACTATATCGAACATTTTTTATATCGTTAATCGAAGAAGGTGTACTGTCGATAAATATCGATACAGTTTTATCGCCCAGGCCTATCAGAGACTTAGTTTCATTTCGATTTATTGGATGGGGGCGCGCTACAGTGTTCCGTTCATTGGGCCTCATTCATGAAACACGAGCAGAACAAATTTTTGTGTAAATCATTCGTAAAGCTGTTCTGATGTACATTTTGGGATTCATGAAAGTGTTCGTATTTTCAAAATGTTAGTTGGTACAAAATAAATTTACACCTGCTCCCTACCATGTGTAAATGGTGCGTAAAACGGTCCGTGTTCTTTTTGGCAAACTGATGACACTGAATTTTGATGCACAGCCATCATAATATTTTACAAGTTCGTTTGCTCTGTTTTTGTTTTTTTTTGTAGCTGGGAGTTGATAAACTGTTTAGCTTTGGGTAAAACGCAGCGCTTGTCACAGTCACTTTTTACCCAGCCGTCCAATCAGTGGACAAGAGGCGGGACAAATACTACACCGACCAATCATCCTACTTGTACAACAACTGAACAACAATAGAGAAGTTAACATTGCTGGTTACTGCATTTTTATATTCAGTAATATTCTTCAAAATGAGATACTAGTAATGCGTTACTGCCGTGGATATTCCAAATTATAGCAATCAAAGCATCTGGAAAAACGCTATGCCACCAAAGCGTCCTCCAGTACCACCAGCTGGTCGTTTTCAGAAGAGCGCCTGACATTTGTCAGCTACCTAAAAACGCTTTGGTGGACACACGTTATTGAATATTTATTGTTAGGCATATGGCCTATTAGCCTTTTTTGCAATATACTGGAGCCAAACCTGAGAAAGTAGACCAGAATATTCCAATGCGTTCCTGGACATGCAATTTGCGTAGCTGTAATTCATAGGCGGGGATTATGGTAATTGTGAATGAGCGCACGAGCGCCCTATTTACGAATCATTGGAATTCATTAATATACGCATGTTTAACTATCAAATCGGAAGTTTACGAAGCGTTTGTGAATCCGGAGGAGAGTTTTCGGGAAGTTCCGTTTTACGCGCAAATTACGTATTACAGAATTTACTCCTATATTTACGAATGTTTCATGAATGAGGCCCATTAACTGAAAACAGGCTAGACTAATCGATCTTAGGTATTTAAGAATCGATATAGTTTCGAAAAAATGAGAATCGATTAAAATCGAGAAATCTTTTTTTTTTTTACCCATCCCTAATTATTAACGTCTTTTCTGTAACTTTTGATCAGTTTAATGCATCCCCACAGAATAAACTTATTACATTTCTTTAAAAAAAATAAAAATCTTACAGACCCAAAACTTTTGATCCGTAGTGTATACAAAAAAGCCTGGATTTAGGTAAAAATTTGCCATTATTGGGGAGTTTGAATGAGAGGTTGGAAAAGTAAGTTATGATGTTAGACAAAAATGAAAGTTAGAGTTAAAGTCAGGGTTTAAATCAAAATTACATTTTTATTAGACCAGGAGCATGCATTAAAAAAGAAATAAATAACAGGGTCAATTTTAATTTCATTCTAACTTCAGGCCACAAGTAATCAATAAGTGGATGCATGATTCATATGTGAGCAAATCAGACCATAATAAATTCTGAAAATGTATCACACAGCATATGAATAATTGGGATGTGCGCATATTTTACTTTAGTGCCGTTCTAAATTCAGTCAGACCCATTGGAAACACCAGCTGCGATGAGGGAAACCATCACACACTCAACACTCAAGGGCATGCTTGGTTTACATTTACACAAGACAACTCCAAACCACCCATCTATGCCCTCAAAAATCACAAATAAAAACGAGACTGCATGCAAGTACTTGATCCCAATTAAACGTGCCTAGAAAAAGTGATTTAATCTTAGCAACTCCCAAAGCTGACGTGAATTTTTCCGCGCACACCAGGAAAAGGTGTTGCATCACAGGCCCCAGAATGAAGCGAAGCATAATACTCCATTAATCTGTTTGTTTTAGAGAAGCACGTCTCTGCAGAACCGCGCACAATCTTTACGGGACATCTGATTTTCCAGCTTTCATCTCAAAGTAAGTATGGCTTCTCACTGGGGCCAGGTGGCATGGATTACATGTACTGGAGGGAGTTTAGTTCCAGCTCCTCCGTCAGGCTTTTGCACTTGCTGTCATCACATGTCTCACATGGCAGCGTTCCCACTCCACGAGCGTAATAAACAGAGCGAAAGTGGACGTGCACGGACACAGTGGATAAAGATCTAGAGTAAGTGTGAGAATGCATGGGTGGAGACTTGGGCCACAATATTTGTGAGACGGGTTGTAGGTAAAGTGTACAACTGAAGAAATGGCTATTTATAATAGTTTTATCAATGCATATTTGAAGGAGGAATGAGAATTTAATGATTCTGGTTCTGATTCAGATTCATTCATGATTTTTTTTTAGGTCTCAGAGGAGATAAAAACTAAACAAAACTTAGCAAAAGACTATTTATAATATTTCTTATCAATACGTGTTCGAAGAAGGGATGAGAATTTAATGATTCTGGTTCTGATTCAGATTCAGGTTCCCTAAAGATTTTTTTAGTTTCTCAAAGGAGATAAAAACTAATCAAAACATTTTTTTTAATTGAAGTATCATTTGTAAGAGTAACAGTTACTAAGTTCAATAAAAAAATAAGTTAGGAATCGCTTCAACCAATTCAGTAAGTCATTTCATGATTCAAATCAGTAACTTGATTTAACTCAATTTAAGAGAAACTGACTCATTTGTTTAAAAAAAAGAAAAAGAAAAGTTCAAAAGAATATTTTCTACAAAATCAAATAATTTGTTTTCCTTCAGAAAAAAACACCATAAACTTAAGATTTTTTTTAATTTTTTTATTGAAGTATCATTTATAACAGTAATGTCAAAATGTACTGAGAATTACCATTGATATTATAATTGATACCGAATATTAAAGTTTAATGTTAATCTTTGTTTAATTTTTAGCTTACAATATTTTTAAAGAAAACAATTCTGGTCCTTTTGAACTAGTTCCATTTAGTTAATTAAAAAGAACTACAATTCACTGAAACAAAAAAAGAACTCAGTGAATTGATCAAAGAGGTTCTTGACTTATTCGTTAAAATAGCAAAGAAATCTCTTTCGGTGTTCGGCCGAATAAGCGAAAAGGCCGAATATGTACCGAAGAATGATGTGAGATGTGTAGCAAACATGACAGCAGTGTGAAAGTATTTAAAACTATCAGAGAAAGACGCAGAAATCATTACAAGCACGAAGCACCGACCGCGAGAGACTGTTTAGTGCTGCATCACATGTCTCCCCGATGAGAAGAGGTGGCTGATGCTGGTGGTTAGGCTACTGTATGATGATTGAAATCGTGAAATAGCCTCAACCGAATAGTAAGTAAACTGCAGAATGTTATATTTTCTAATGCATGCACGAATTGCATGTATTGACAGCGCTGCACAAGCTCGCGGCACCAGGGTTCAAAGCATAGACTGTATAAAAACATGGACTTAGTGTCCGTGACGTCACCCGTAGTTTCCTGAAGAGCGGTTTTGAAGCTCAAAGTGGGCGGAGCAGGCCGTCGCCATCTTGGCAGCGCGTCACCGCACGTCACTCCCGGATAATCAAAAATGAGCAAAGAGGCGGGAGCTGGTTGCTGAAACCACGCCCACCTAGCTCGACGGTGGTGACAGCAGCGGCAATCCAC